ACATCCTCATTTTATACAGGCCAGCTGCTTCCTGCCCCTTCTCTGTCTCCAGGTACCTGTACCGTGGCAAGTTCTGGACAGCTCCCAGTGCCTCAGACCTCCAAAATCCCAGGCTTAGCTCTTACAGAAATATTCAAAATGCTTTGTTTGCCCCTGCTGTTTTGTGAAACTGTTTTTCTTTACCTTTGCAACGCCGCTCATGCTATGTTACAAAGCAGGAGGTTTTTACAGGCTTGCACGTTCCAGCAAAAAGAGCTACAGTCCTTGCTAAAATGTAGACTCTTGATGGCTAAACTGCACCAAACTCACTCTTTCACAGACACTCCTGATAACAGCAGAGGCCAGGAGTAAACTATTCTCAAGACTTGTTGCTGTTTTTCAGTTTTTAATTTATTGCTTTTGAAGCTGAGGGGAAGGAAAGAGGAGGAAAGACAAAGAAAGGCCTTGAGGCAAGTGAGAGGCCCAAAACTCCTGCATCCCAGCCAGGACCCCAGCGTCCTGGGCTTCATCCCACTCTGTTTATCATTGCTCCGTAGCCAGCCCCAATCTAGGACTTATTGTTAGGGATGGAAGAAGCACACAGTGTGCCAAAGAAAATGTTCTGTATTTTCTGAGTGCCTGAACATAAGTCAGCAGGATGCTGGGAGCTGCCACACTAGACAAAATCATTAGTTACTATGCCAACTACTTTCTAGCAGCTAGTACTCACCAAGGATTTGTACTGAAAACTTCCTAGACTTGTAATACCATTTGAATGCCCTGTGGGAAGGAAACTGCTGCCCAAGGTTGTCTTGCATTCTATGGCAAGGTGGGAGCACTGATTTATAAATGCACCGGGTTCCCTTATTGCCAGCAATGGCTAATGTTCCTTCTTAGCTCCAGTCTTTACAGGAAAGGATGCAATGTAATTTAATTGTCAGCTTGTTTCCTTGCTCAGTAGGAAGGTAATTTTTTTTTCAGTTTGCTAGACCTCCAGACATACTGATTTCTGCCGTGATGCTATCAGTTCGTACAAACTAAGCAGGGTTAAACAGAGAAATATTCTTCATGAATGCTGAAACTTTGTTTACACAATAATTTGAGCCTAGTTTGCACTGCCTTTCAATGGAATGTAGATACTTCTTAAGTATTTCAAAAGTGCCTGTTTAGTGAGTGATATATGGAGAACACCAGTGTCTTCATGAATTGGTATTGTTGCCTGCCACACAGGAATTGATATCAAGCAAGTGCCCAGCTGTGCCATTGGAAGAAGGCTTCAGTTGAAATATAAATGCAAGCTGGATGTGTCATGCTCTTAGTACAGGCTTGCTGTTTGTCCTATAGTTCTTTATAACTATGAGATCCTCAGTGACTGGTGTTCTGACGTCTGGTCTTGTCTACAACTTCAGTCCTTGGAATTTCCTTCAAATTCTTTTGAAATAGAAACAGAAACCAGCTCTCTCCTTTCTTGTAAGAGCTGGTATTCACATCCCTTCTGTATGGAGACTGGATTTCACAGAGATTTTTTTTTTCTGTAATCAATGAAAAAATCAATATTAGTACTTAGTATTTTAGTACACTGACATTAGTTTCTAGTACAGGGGTAAGTAGTTGATTGCATAAAGGTTGCTTACATCAGAAAAGGGCTAACGGGTTGGAAAAGGGAACTAGAGCAGAAAGGGAGTTTGGAACCAGAAAACCTGAAGATGAATGTATGGTGTTTTAGCCCTTCTGGACTGGATCCCTATCATAATTGCAAGGTGATTTGTTGAAAATGGTCTCACAAGCAAACCTGTATCTTTTGTGATACCAAAAATTGCAGCAGAGAGGTTTTATGCTGTCAGTGATTTGGAAGAGAGAATTCTGGCCCAGCCTTTATGAAAACTACAGTTGAAAGAAAGGAACACAGTAGGTTTCTTGCCAAAAACACTGAGTGGCCTGAAGAGCCGCTGGAAGGACAGAATCTTGCTTACAAAGGATGGGCCATAATGCCAAAGGCTGAGATTTCCTGCACAGTGAAGGCCTGAATCCTGGCCAGGTCTCTGAACTAAGCAACTCATAAATAATTTTGAGCAAGCTGTGAGAAGATTGCTCACAACTAGCGTTGGCTGACAGAATGAAACCAAATCTTTTCTGGTGGCATAGACAGGAATTCCTATTTTCCATTTGCATGTGTGTGTATCTGTGCCTACATCTGTTATCTGTACACGTCAAGAAATCAATGTTCAATCATTAGTGTTCAAGCAATAATCCTGAATTGAAAACACACAGGTCTGTGAGTACTGACTCTACAATACTCATTTCCATTAGGGGTGTGGAGGTTTTTTTCTGGTTATTTTTGGCTTTGCCTAAAACAGTGTAAGTTTTGAGAAAGCTTTTAATTCAGTTTGGGGTATTTATACAGTCTTCCTAACAAGTGAACTCTTTAATACCCATTAAGATGTGAGGTTCTCTACAGCTGTTTTGCAGCCTTCATTATGGTGCTGAACCAGTTGTAATTTCCTTAGGCAGAACTAATTTCTGCCTCAGGGTGCAGAAGCGTTGTCATGCTTTAAGAAATCATCCAACAGGCAGAGACTGAGAATAGGAGATGCTCCATGATGTATTCCTGTGAGCATGGCAAATAGACTGAGAGCCAGAGCATGTCTCTGGCAGCAGGGTATTGAGTCTCAGATCTCAAGCCTGTTCTGCACCAGGGCAAACGTAGCCTTAGATGTAATATCAGCACTTAATAACATGTTATGTGAAGACTTAACAAAACTGCAGATGAAATATCTCTTTATGAAAGTGATCCCAAGACTGGCAAATACACTGGCTTGCTGTCGTCAAGTATTGTATGTTTATCTTATAGAAGGTTGAAGTTGTTTTGCAACATAATGCATAAATGCAGAATAATGCATTTACTTTGGTTTGTGTCTGTAAATAAGGAAAACCCATAGAAGCCAACAGAAGCATAATCAATCCAGAAGAATTCTGCAGGCCAGGAGGATAAAACCTGCTTAGGCAAGCAACAGTGATGTGAATGTAGTGTCTAGAACAAAAAGCGTTCTTTTGTTGTGTCACGTGGAGAAGAAGGTACTGGAACTGCAGCGAGTTGTGTACAAGATTGCGCCACAAGAAAATCTTAGCCAGAGTTATGTGGTTTCATTTGGTGTTTTTAAATGTAGTTCTTCCTAAAGGTTGAATAATGTAGTTTCAACAGTGCTTTCCTGAGCAATGTAAGCCAAGTTTACCTGGGCAACGCTATGTTGAGTATATTGGCTGAAACAGAAAAAGGGAATTAAAGCAAGTGAGAAACCCAATGAGAGAATTTGAGAGTTCATTGAATTGGGCAAAGGTTGGAGAAATGCAGCAATCTTGGTGCATTCTTAAAATGTCAGACTTAAGTATTTGCAATTCCATAAGTTAATAATTTGCTAGATACCTCAAAACAGAAGAAATGAGATATCAGGGAAATGTTACTGAATTGTTGCTGTTTAGATAGTGGCCCATGCAGTACTGCAGACTGCAGTCATTGCACATTATCTCTGTGGCATAAAATCTGGCTATTGACAGGTCCAGTTTTAGTGGACTTACTGTTTTATATAAATTTTGTCTCCACTGTTAGAAGTAATCACTCAGTCTTGAGCTTCATAAGCATTCTTTTGGATTAAAGGATGAATTTTATGGTTTACAGGTTCTGAAATGGGGGTAGATATGGGAGGAGTTGGAACAGATATTTAATTTCTGGAATTAATAATATAACTTGAATGAATAGCTTAAAGAGTGCTTGAGTGAATTATCTTATTTCTGACGTTTTAAGGGTTTGCAATGACAAAGCTTTTGGGGGAAGGAGCAACACATTCAAGGCAAGCTGAGATATGTTTAAAGAATCTAGGCTGTAAGTTGCGCTAGGTTCCTGAAGCAAAGAGATTGTGGTTAACTCCCTTGCCAAAACCACGACCTACACTCCAAATTGTGGCACGAAAGACACCAGTTATCTTTTACGTCCCAATCACATATGATGTAGATGGGAAATATAAGGGAAGCCTACCCTGGGAATCCAAAGGAAATATTTGGAAGCAGTGGCTGAGAGAAACATGTCAGAGATCAACAAACACTTGGGAAGTTCAGGCATTGAGGCTTGAAGGTTATATTACCCGGAGTGTCAGGATTTGGTGGGTCATACAACATCTGTCATGTGAGTTACAGAATGTGTGAATTGCTGGGCCATTGTAGCCTCTTCAGGACACCTCATGGTCCTGTCAGTCTGCCACCTGCTCCCTGCAAAGCCCCTCAGCCTTGTGTAGAAGTATGTTGGTGCTGCCTTCTCACCAAGGCTTACAAACTTCAAAGCAAGCTAGTGAACTTCTGTTGGTACTTATCACGTTGCAGGCCACAGCTGAACTCCTACCATGTAAGCCTGGGCTCTAAGAGCTCCTGTCTCTTTGTAGAGGCCTTTTGTCCTCTAAGAAAAACTTGCACTTCTCTGAGAATGAAAGAAATGAGCCTGTCTCACTCCCCCCAAGCCTTTTGGATTGTAACTGTATGGAGTCAGTATGTATCCTAGTTCCAGCCTCACCCAACCAGTCCTTTATCTCTCCGGATGTTGTACTGCATGTCTGTTTGTATTCCATTGTCACTGCAGCATGTATGTACTTAGTGTAAGCCTTGTGCGACTGCATTGAAGCTGCTACCAATCTAAATAAATAATTATCTCATTAGCGATGGGAACCAGTTTTTTTTTCCTGCTGCTATTCTGCCTGTCTTCAATGCTAATCAGCCACAGAAATACTCTGGTTTAGAGTTTTTAGTCTCCTTTCCTTTTTCTCTTCAAGAGAATATCTAGTAATATAGTCCCAGCCTATATTCAAGAAAGTGCTTAGCAGGAAGCACTTGGCACATGACACCTCCAGTAGGTGCTGTGCTTGCTAAAGCTTCTTAATACAGATTCATAGATGGCTAAATATTAAGAGATCTTTTTGAAACAGCAGTGCCTTATAGGCAGAGCAGTGAAAACATGATGACTCTTCTTTCCTCAGGGGTCCAGAGAATCATCATTTTGCCTTGGAAGGAGAGATGGAGAACAGTGTCCACAAGGTGACGCGAGGTCCTCTGGCACATCCCAGCTATCAGCTTCAGTTTGCTGTGCAGCAACTTCAGCAGCAGAAACTTCAGTCAAGACAGCTGTTGGAGCAAAACCAAGCACGGCAACAGGTAACTAAGAAAAAATCCTGCCTGGATGTAGCAGTGCTGACTGAGTCTTAGATGTGAAAACAAACCCAGAGGCAGTAAGGATGGCAGAGATTTTGTCAAGGAAGTAGGTCTTAAACTGGATTGCAACAAAACCAGTATTACCTGCAGTGATTTTGATATCATTTTGATACTGTCATTCCCAATAGCGTCTTCCATTATGTTGACATCTAAAGAGCTGGAGGAAATATGAAAAAGGGCTGGTATTGATGTTCTGGATGACTCCTAGATGCCAAAGGTGGATCACTCTGTATGGAACAGCATTTTCATTCTGCTGGGAGAAGCTTTCAAGGTTTTAATGACTTAATTGATACACCTGTTACCTTACTTTTTTATTATAGGGAGAGAAAGAGAGAGAGATGTATTCTGAGTGATGTCCAAAATACTTCCCTGCTAAAAGGAAGGAAGCCTTTGGGTGATCAAACCTTGATTCAAAACAGCTTGGTCTCCAGCAGCACAGAGCTGTTTGTTAGCAGTCTGGCATGACTAGACCCCATGAACATGGAGGTCTGGACATCCACTCTGCCTCCTGTGAAGCACATAAGTCATTCGTCAGGGCCCTTGAGAATAGGTTATAGGCAAATTGCCCTCATCCTTTTCTGGGAGTATCTTGAAGGAGAGGCCCTTCTGCTTTTTGCTCCTTGCTGTCCTTTTTTCAAGGACCTTACTTAGCCATGTAGTTTCCATCCTCAACTTCTCTCACCTACAGTCTTCTCACTCTTACTCTGTGCAGGAGTTCCTTTCATCTCTGTCCACTGGGCTCTGGGTGGGCAGATGTAGCTGCTCACAAGCTCAGGAAAGGGCCATAAACTGGCTTGTGCCTGTGAGGAGGCTGGAGCTGGCCATGGGGCCTGGCTGAGCCCTCTTCTAACTGCTGACATTGAGCTGATGTTATTCTTGGCCTGGGGCAGAGCCATTACTCAGGAGTTTCTGTTAAAATGATTCTTTGTTAAACCTCCTCTCACCCCCACATCACCCCTCCTTTCTCTCCCTCCCTTCTCCTTCTGAGCCAAGCATTTTGGAGTTGGTGTGTTGAGGCTATTGCCATGCTGCAGGACTCAGGCTGCACTGGATTTGATGTTAATTGAAGAAAAATACTTGCTGAACATGGGGGCCTTCAGACTTTTTGTCATGAATAAAATTATTGTCTCTTGGATACTCCCTGTCCAAGACATTGTATGGAGCCAGCTATCTCTCCTCTTCCAATAACAGTTGCATCAATCCTCTGATGCCCACCCTGCCAGTCATGACACTACCCTTGCCTTCCCCTGCACCCCCTCTAGCTTTCTGTCACTAACCTCTTCCTTCTGCTAGTTAGCTTCTCAGACTTTAGTCCTTCAACTTGGCCTTAAAGAGAACTGCCTTCTCTTTTCTGCTGCTTATACATTCTCTCACCTACATCTTCCCACTCACACTGCTTCGACTTCTGCACAACCCTTTCATGCTGACCCTCGTTTAGGCTGATCCTCACCCTTCCCCTTCCAGCTAGAGTTCCTGTAACTTATCCAAGCCTGCATGGCTTTACCACATTTCCTTGTCAGTGTTACCTATGCTATCTCCCATTGCCTGCTGTTTTGTTTCTCTTCCTTCCCATTTATTGAGATCTACTTCATCCTATGTTGTCTTGCTTGCTACATTCAAATTTGGCAGTCTTCCCTCAGCAGAAGAAATATATCCCCCAAGACTGAAGGCCTATCACTTGAAAGAGTGTCATAATCTCTCTAATTTGGGGAATGCATGCAGGATATACTTGAGATTGTTTCATCTGATTGTTCAAGTTCTTGTTATGGTTAGAAGGCAGACTAGGCATTTGTCAATAGCTGAAGTGCATCCATTAATTAATATTTCTTGAGCTGCACCCTGAGTGTGGCATGACCAAGCAACATGACTAGGTGCCAGTCTTTCTTTCCATCTCTGGCAAAGGGACTAGTTACATGTGTGACTATATATGTGATCTAGTAACAGAAGCACCATGATTAATAACACAGCAAATGCTTCTCCTATACATTAACCAGCTCAGTATGCTGGAGATGAGATGGATGCACTGGAAAGCATGGGCTTTTTTAGTCAAGTATTTGTGTCACAAGAATCCCTCCATTTACCATGCACTGGATCTGTCTTACCATGTGTGTTAATATGAAGGCTTGTTGTGTGCTTTGTTGCAGCACTCACTCTTGGTTGAACACTTTCCAGACACATAAGAGTGGTGATGATTTCTTCAGGCATTTAACAATCTGTGGAATATCAAATACTGTGTGGGTGGAGGAAGAGGAATTATAACAAACAGTTTTCAGTCATTGTATGCAGAAGCTAGTTCACACAGTGTAGCACAGTAGGAATAGACCTTTGACTGTAGAATAGGTACTTGTTTACTTGGACAAAAAGAAAAACACCAAACTGGCTGGATGAGAATCCAACAAACAAATAGGTGGAGTGATATGGACCGGGAACAGACACAGTACAGACCCTGAGAAAATGAACAAAAGTAGGAAGGGGAAGAGTTTGAAAGTAGAGACAAGAAGCTTAAAACTGTTATCAGTAAAATCAAGGAATAAGAATTACAAAATCAAACCACAAGGCAAGAAAAACATGCTTATAGCAGTATTTTTAATGTTTAAAGGAGACTTCATGTGACATGTTATGACCTAGATGTTATTATCACTGCTGTAGTTGGCAAGACAGTTAATATACCATCATTGTTTATTCTCTAATTGTTTCCTGTACTGGAAAGATGCCATTAGCTGTTAGGGAGGTTCCTTCTTTGTGTGGCTATGTTCTGTCTGCTCGGCCTAGCATCTACTGGGTTTAAGATTTTATGCCAAACATTTCACATGGGAAAAAAGCTAAATTAAAACAAGGGAAGTACAATTGTATGATGGAATGATCCCTGTCAATCCTGCTTACATCAAAAAGGCTCGTGTTAAGTAAGACATGAATCATGTTAATTGAGTTGTGTGGGCAGTTACATGATCACAGTTCCATTCACAAGTTTAAATAGATTTTATGCTGTAGAAGATTAGGCTAAATTAATCTTAAATAATTCTCCTCTCAGTCATTTAAAAATTGTATGTCCTCTGAAATATTCTTCATTTTATGAAGTTTAGCTAATTTTTGTCTTTTAATATTTGTGATTCTCTTCTGGCATCCTTACCATTTATTTAGATCTGACTGGAAGTGCTGAGTACTGTGAATAATATTCCTAGTATTCCTAGAACTATATTATTGCTGCCTGAGGGCATCTTTGAATCTAGCCTTGAGCATCATTAAATTGTTTTCTAAACTCTTATATAGTGAACTGCTGTCAGATTTGCAGTATCTCTTTTCCTTCCATTTCTTGTTCATTCTTGTTCTGCAGCTTTCTCCCTCAGTTTTCCCACTAAATGTGCTAACTGCCATTTTTCCTATTTGAGTCTTGTGATACTGATGAGTCAAAGTCTCAGTGTAAGTAAAACAGAACAGCTATTCTGAAAGCAGTAGTCTGAGTTGATTTATACCAGCTGAAATTTTGTCCTCATGTTTCTGGTCCTGTCACTATTATTAGAATTATGGTAACGCCCAGATGTATTAACTGTCTTTCCAATACAATTATACAGCCCAATCCTTGCCCTAGAGAGCTACCAGTACCAAGAGAAATAAAACAGAAGGCACCCAGTCAACTGAACAAAATATATTTTTTCTTGCTCTGAAGAATTTACCAAAGAGGACATGGTTCAGGACAGTCTGTGCATACCATGAGCTCGCTTTTCTTTAAGACCCCAAGATACTCTTCTTAGTGCAGTTTAACACTGTGCTAGTTAATAGTACATAGCCTGCTCTTTATTGCCACTTTCTGAATTTTCAATTCAACCAATTGTTATATCCAAACTGATTTAACTGAATGCATTAGTATGTGTTCAAAATAATTTCCACTAAACAATTTATATGACTGGAAAGGTCGTCCAAGGCTATTAG